TTGAAGGGTCCCCGGAGTCTTATTTTGAAAGTCTATCAGGGTTGCGTGTGAAGGGAAGGGTCATGGCCAGTAGTCATATTGTATCCACTTCCTAATGTTAAATCAGTGTTGTCTCCCTCCATTAGATTAAAATGTGCTGTTTAAAGTGGTGGAGGTAAAATCTGTTTGAAGCTCGGTTACCTTGACAACGTTAACGAGCCTGTCAGTGACAGAGAGAAACGCGCATCACTTTCGTTCCTTAGTTCTCAGGCTTTTTTGAATGGGATTATCAGCTCCGAACAAACAAGTGCTGAAGACAAACCGTAAATGGTATCTAAAAAATTCTTTCAGTCTAAGCGAGAGCTATCCTTTGTCTCCGATTGGGGTAACTTTCATGGCTGTAGCTCATTCACAACCTTAATGGGAAGGAGGAATAAAAAGGTTTGAGAAATCCTGCTGGTCTCATTGAATAACATGCAGCTTAATGGTAGAGCAGAACTCTCAAAAGCAAAACTTTTCCTCCGAACAAACGAGCGGTGAGCCAAAACCGTATTAGGTATTCAAAAAATTCTTTCGCCGTGAGCGTCAGCCATCTTTGGACTACAACTGGGGTGACTTTCATATTTCTACAATATTTCGTCTAGGCGTGGTGACGATGTAAAAAAGTGTATAATTGTCAAAATCCTGATTTTGGGGTTCGGACAGATTTGTTACCCCCGAACAAACCTTTTTCCTAGCTAAACGATAAAAGATATCGACACACTTCCTTCAATGTGAGTGCTAGGAAGGTCTGAGGAACAACTTCCACAAGGCTCGTGTTGCTACGTCGAACGGTTCCCGAATGGGAGCGATACGAAAAAGTCTGTTTTTTTGAATTTTCAGTTCGGATTTTCAGAGAGCTCTCATTGGATTTCTATTGGAGAAGTTTGGACTTCTTCGTGGTCTGGGCCAAACTGTCGGAAAACCGTAAATGTCACACGAATGAGGGTTACATTTCCTGAATCCTGACAAAAATCCCTACGTTTTGATGTAAAATTTATCTAGATAGAGTAAAAAATGAGCGAGTGAGTTGAAGCTGTTCGGCATGAGTGAAATGTTTGAAAACGCTAGAGTGGCACACTCTAGCAGCTGAACATTCCGTCCATAGACTTCCATTATAAATTTGAAAATCTGTAAAAATTGTTTAAAAGTTTGAAGCTTCACTGAAGCAAAACTGTAAAAGTTAGCTGAAAGCCGAGTTAAACAGTAATAGCAGAAAGATACGGAAACATTTTAAAAGTTGAATGGTGTTTCTAGCTGAAAGTATGCTGAAGTAGTTAAAGCTCAAAGTAGTTGAAGATTTGCTGAAATTTTGTGGAAATTTTCTGATTTTACATTCATTCCTATGGGAGCAAAAAAGGCATAAAAAGTTAAATATTTTAAAAAGTATAAAAGTTTAAAAAGTAAAAAGATATAGCAGAATTCTACTAATTAAGTTGAATAGTTTAAAAGTTGAATGGTTGAAATAGCACAAAGTATGAAGGACTAGTTAAATGACAAAGAAAAACGGAGCAACCAGAATAAGAATAATAATAATAATATATAAAAAGAGGATCTCAATAGTGTGAATGCCTACAGCATTCACACAACTAGAATGTTACATAGTAACATACAATTGTAATATTTATTATGCTGGTTATTATAATGAAATTATGTACCTTAATCTTGGGGTAATTACCCCCATAAAAAATGTTCTTGTTGCCAAGTACTGTAGTGCGACTTGCTATGATATTACCATGTTATTACATGGTTATTGATGTACTGTAAAAGAAAGAGTTACCGTATTTTATGCAGCTCTAACCAGAAAATTATCATATTTACCTAAAAAGATTTAGTAAAATAATTCATTTTACAAGATTCTAACTGTAGACTGAACAACAATAATTTAAAATCCGTTTTAAGAAAATTTCCTTCTTGATAGCTTTTATAGATTTCAACACTCTAAGTGCTTCCTGATAGTAAAAATCTCCATAGCCTCTTTATCTAATCTGCTTGTAGCTCAGAGCAGCAGAGAATTTAGTCTCCTTTGGTTTCCAGGGAGCTGTTTGACAACAACACAGCAAAACTGCTTCTTGACTCCCCCTGAAATATGCACAAGCTCATGGGATGTTACGTGATGAGAAGCAGTTGCTTCCTATTAATGTCCCTCTTTGCTTTCTGTGTACAGGTGGAATATCCTTTCTGTCAAACCAGTTGGGCACAAACAGGATTTTATTGAACGTAAGAATGTGTGTGTGTGTGATGAATCTATTATCAAGGGTGTGCATGCATGCCGAGTGTAGTCTATAATTAGCGTGATGTGACGCTTAATAACAGCTGTAAAATTTTATTATTTTAATAAGCAGTAGTCAAATTATAAAAACTCAATAACTCAGTACTAGCCTCAGTCTATTATTTAGTAGTGAGGTCAGTTAAAAATGAACTATATTAGATTATTCCCATTTTGCATCTTGTAAGCACTGATGAGTACTTATCTTTGAGTTTGTTTCAGGATACATACATGACTTTTATTTTACAATTGTTTTTTTTTTTATATTATGGAACTTTGACATTATTTTATAGAGATTTTCACCAACTAACAACAAGTCTCTTGCCTAACAATAAAAATAGAGTTTACACAAGGTTCCATAGGGTGTTTTAAGAAATGGAAATGTCATGTAAAAGTCTAGTCTTGTCTTGTCTTGGAAAGCTGATTAAATTGACACTGACCAAAAATCCTTTTAGAATTAATGAATGGAGGAGAATGAAAACCAGATCAAACTATACTTCAGTAAAATTACACAATCCAACACATTAAATTGGCATTACGTTTTATTTTTTAACATTTAACGAAAGGATAAAGGTTTGTAAGACAGATACAAAACAGCACAACAGTCATTAATCATGCTTCAGAAAAGAGCATTAAGGTTTTTCGATAAGTCTTGGTACCTGGAACACTCCAGCCTATTATATAAAATTATTAGGATTTTTAATTTTCTGACTTTGTAAATATAAGAAAAAAAAGTCTGCAAAACAGCTACAATGTTGAACAGTCCCCATTTAATCTAACAGCAACCCCACTCATTGTATAACAGCTCTAGCCATATCTACTGTCAACTAATGGGGGTCTTTTACTAAAAATCGGCACAAGTACTTCCTAATTAAAGTGAAGTTGTTGCTTATTGGGTTATTTAATTTAGGCTTAATTAAAACAAATAATTCAGACTAATCTATGGGTTTAAACATACCTAAAAAAAATGAACATGTTACACTACTACAACACATTTGAGTAAGCAGATTTTTTTTTACTAAATAATGAGTTTTAAGTTCTCAGTTAAATTAATAACTTTGAACATTAAGGTTTATAGAGCTTAATGATCCAGAATTCAAAAAATGGCTTAAAAATGTCAGAATGACCAAGATTTTTATTTTTTTTTGCAAAGTCTGCAGAAAAACTATAAATGTTTCCATGAACGGTGTTAGCAAATCACACAAAGCATATTAATTCCATCACAATTCAACAACAAACAAGTTACCAGTAAGGCAGACAGACAGTAGACTGAAATTATAGCCTAGATCTCTTTTACCCCTCTAAAGATGGAGTTGAGGAGCTGTTTGAAAATATGTTTATTTTCTGACATGAGGAGGTCTTAGTCGACACATGCTTGATTTTGTATTGGTAGTAAAAATATTGCAGAGGTAGTAAAAAGTTGGTAAACTTGGCGCTGGACTTGGTGTATTAACCCTGTTATCAGTATTATTACTACCACTTATTTAATTTAAATATTACTGTAAAGATACTTTATGCACTTTATTTCTAAGACTTTTTGTTCACAGTTGATCACAAATGAGTTCCTTGATGAATTGGAGGTGATGGGAGGCAGGATAATAAGGGATTTACTTTGGTTTATACATCCGCCTTTACATCCACAAATACAGCTGTTAATATCTGATGTTACATATATAAAAACAAGTTTAGAATAATTAACATCTGAAGCTGAAATTTTAACTCCCTGGTTGCTTTATTAGTTATACTTAAATGTTTTCCTGTTAACATATAAAAGATTGTATAGAAATGCATAATGTATTAAAATTTATGCAAATAAATTATGTAATTTAAAGGATACAAAATTTATATTGTTGTTTCATTTGTCAGGAAGTTCAATGATAATTCTACTTTTGGAAAATTAGAATCTTCTGTCAATTATTTCCTGGTTCAGGCTTTAAAGGGTTAAATAGAGTGAATTGAAGAAGATGGAAATGAGCGCCATACAAGCTGACAAACCTTCAGGAGCTGACTGTCTGAATGTGGTCTAAGAACGACTTCAGTAAAACCTTGTTGAATCTAAACAATGAGGAAGTGAAGGCACTTAAGGCAGAAGTTAGTCATAACATTTTAAAAGCAAGCCATACCTAAATAATGACTCTAACTTTATAATTACCTCTCAGCATAATTTTTCAAGATGGCGGATTCTTATTTTATGAGAAATTAAAGTCCCTGACAGGAAACAAAAAGGAATTCTCGACGAAATACCGCCTAGAAAATTGGACGTTGCAGTGCATCCCTATGTTCAGTGTCTCAACTGACTACCACATATAAAACAGAGAAAGATCCACTAATAAAAGGTTGGAAAGTTGATTTCTTACGACACTCAGAGTGCTGTTCTATAAGCTTGAATTGCTACTAGCACCACAACAACAAACACGTCCCACCAATTCTCTGACCTCAAATAAAATGTGATCCGTGTCTTACGTCACAGGTTCAAGCTCTGACTTCCAGCACTAATTTCCGCCACCTTCTAGGATTTAGCTTTGCTTTACAACATGTGAAGCACATCAGTTGTCCAATTTCATTAAAAAAAAAATGGTTTTGTTTTTATAAAGTTAGATTTGGAAATACATCTTAAACAAGCCTGAAAAAAACTATTTTAGCTTAATTATTTTATGACTAAGTTAACTCTGATTTTAGGTATGGTATAAAACATGAAGTAGCTTTCACTTACCACCTGATGAAATAACACAGTGCCGTCTGATGCTTGATTGCCCTCTTTCTATGTGGCTTCTTTCCCTTCACACCCTTTTACTCTCCATATATTTTCTCTTTCTTTTAAGCCTCTCCTCTCTGCCCTTTCTCATTCGCTGCCGCTGTGTCGTTTGTGGCAGAAGGATTCCTCTCATATCTGGGATTTGTTCTCACTATAAATAGACGAGTGATACACAGAAGGGACCTGCTTTCCATCCACACTCACACACTCACTCTCTCAAATGGACACACTCGTGGAGACGGATCAAAACGCATCCAAACAGCTGCAGAAAAGGCCTTAAACAGTCCTTACACTCCTTAGTTTCTCTATAAACATTAGGAAGAAACCAAATGTGCCCATTTTTTATTTAAATGAGTGGATAATAATGTCAGATGCTGCTGTCAACTGCTTTGCCTAGTCAAATTTAAGTAGCAAACAAACTTTTTAAAGTTTAACACCAAAAATATAAGTTTCAACTAGAAATGTGCCTACTTATATGATATAATACTCTTATAATATTAATGGCTAAGATGCATGAATATAAATACACATTTTAATCTCAGTGGCTAAAAACGCCATGGCCTAAATTTGCTTTGGCATACAGACAGGCAAATTATAGGCACTAAGGTTTCTTATTTAAAATCTACATTGATGCACAACCACAGAAGTCGTCCGACAGACTTTAAGGCTTGTCTGAACATGTGTGTGTCTGTGCTGTCTTACCTCCTATTGTGCGTGGCTGCTCTGGCCTGCCTCACGTTCTCCCTGAGGTCCTTTTCAGCTACCTGACCTGTTTCCGCTCGTCCTGATTGGCTCAGAGAGACACGGGACTCCTTCGAGTGTGGAACCCGACCCAGCATCCGACAAGTTAGAGTGTTTAGCCTATATGTGAATGTGTGTGTTGCCGAGTGTATTTCACATACCTTTTTTTCCAGTTTTTGTCAAAATATATCTTCATTCATCACCTCAAACCACTGGGATCCTTTAGGGTCAGTCCTGCCTGACAGATGAAGCTTTTGTGTGCTCAGGTAGTAAAATGAGAAGCCCTAAACTAGAGCCTTGTTATATATTCCAAACTATGCAAATACAGCCCACATGCTGTTCTCACCTGTTGGCAAGGACAGTCTGGTGTTTTCGAGATAAAGATACTCACCGCAGACTGTGGTAAATTGGATTTTATGCCAAAAGAAGGTTTCACTTTAGCAGATCATTATCACATAATGCAGTTATATATTTTAAAGAATCTGGTCCACTTTCTATGTCCTCTGCATCACTGAACAACATTGCAAAGGGAAAACTTTTAATTCATTCCCTTTCACAGATTGATCATTTTGTTGATGGGGTTACTACTTCCCTGCGTACTGCCTTGGACAATGTAGCCACATTCAGAAAAAAAGACTTTAAAAATAGAAAGCATGCTCGCTGGTTTAATGCGGAGTTGCACATTTTTAAACAAAATGCTAGAAAACTGGAGAGAAAGTGGCACTCTAGATGTCTTATCCTACCTAGTTTACCGCTGTAGGAAATGACCCTTCGTAAAGCAGTATTTTTGTATTCGTTAATAGAGAATAAGCCTCATCCTACAGTAGATGTCTTTTTAATACAGTTGCTAAACTCACCTAGAGCCATAGCTCTGTTGAACTGTCCAACCCACCTGCTCTTAGAAGTAGTAATTTTATGTGAATCTTTATAAATAAGATTGATTCTATTAAAAAAAAAGAGCATTCGCACCCCTCTAAATATGATTGGTTAATCTTCAGAAGGTGAGGCAGTATCTGAGGCAACTATAAAATCTGAACCGGGTTTAGACTATTTTGATCCAGTTGAACTTTTAGAGTTAGCAAAGAAAAAAATTCAACTTATATGTTAGATCTTCTTCCAAAAAAGTTATTTAAAGAAGTATTCCTTCTTCCCCACCTGTATTTTACAAGTGATTAACCCATCCCAGTTATAGCGATATGTGACTCAGGCAGTAAAGTAGCTGTAATTAAACCTTTACTTAAGAAACCATCTCTTGGCCCAGATTAATTTGTCAATTATAGAACAATATGTAATTTTCTTTATAATCCATTTTTTTAAATAGTTGTCAAAAATGTGTGTCCACTTACACCATAATGAACTTTTTTAAGAGTTTCAATATGGTTTTAGAAATCCTAATACTGAAACAGCTCTGGTCAAACTCACTAATGATATTCTCAGGGCCTCAGATAATAGACTTCTGTACCATCTTCTCCTGTTAGATCTCAGTTTGTTTGTTTGTTCATATATATATATATATATATATATATATATATATATATATATATATATATATATATATATATATATATATATATATATATATACATATATTATATATATACATGTTTTTGAAGGCATCCATATGTAGAAATATTCCTATAAGAGGAGGGAGAAATGCAAAAACTGCTCAATACACGTTATCATGAACACAATACATAAAAAAAAAAAATCATGCACTGTGCACTTCTTTTTTTTTCCATTAGTCTCTTGTGTTTTATTAACTTCATCCTAATTTGATCATCTATAAATGTACATGTCTAGGATTAAGCCATTTTCCAAATGTATTTCCATTACTTAGTAAAGGCTTTGGGTATTTGGATGTGAGGTGCAGGGGGATACGAACTTACGAAACCCTCTGGCATTGAACCATTTGCAGTTTAATGTTTCCCTGATTACATTTATGGCTTAGTGAGTCAGTGTCTGAGCTGGGTTGCTTATTTCGACCGTCTTACACCATCACTATGTTTAATGATATCCTTATGTACCCCTGGCTTTTTGACGGGAAGAAATCCAACATCGGTATTCACATTTTCATAGTCAGCTTGGGCAAATTAGGTTTTTTTTTTGCTGCAGCTCTCTTTATCATTATTTTAAATGTTCTGTCATTAAATCGAAAAATTGTGTTTCAGACATCAAAACATTGTTCATCTAACAGCAAAACTATAAACAATGAGTCATTTTAGGTTATGATGTGCCTTACATTGTGAAATGACCTCAGCTATATCTTAAAAAAATATTCATTCTCTTTGAACTAATTCCCACTTTCCTTGTGTTTGCCACCCAATTCCATGCATCTTATTGAGATGTTATTAGAAAAAGCACAGAGAAGCATGTATGTATAGTAGCAAATGAAAACAACTGTGTTTTATACAAAAACAAATCCTTCAATGCTGTACATATTTGTATTTAATCCTCTTGTGTCAATATCTAGTTAAAGAACATTTGGAGAACATGATTTCCAAATTTTGTCACAAATTCTGATTTAGCATTAGATCAGGACTTTGCCCAAGCATTTCTAAAACATGAACATTATTTATTTTAACACACTCTATTGTAGATCTGGCTGTTTTGATTCCTTGTCTTCCATCAGAAAAAACCAACAAATCCCAACAGCCTCCAATGTATTTTACTATGAGGGCGGTGTTTTCAGGGAAATGTTCAGTGTTGGTTTTCAGTCCAGAGTGTTTTGCATATGAGCCAAAAACTTTCACTTTCATCTCAGCTGACCCTACAGTACCTATCTTGTATGTATACATCCAGGTCTTGGCAGGTTTTTAGTTAGTACCACATACATTCCATTATTAGATGAGAATAAATGATCTAAAGCTTAAGTTTTGTAGCCCAATATTGTCGTGGAAATCTCCACAACTTTACCCTTGGCCTGTCTATTTTTTGTCTATTTGTTTCCTGAAACCATTTTCATAATAATTTTCTTTAACAAAATACATCTGAGACCTACACAGATTTACTGTTTTATTAAAATACTTTCAAAAGTATTTAATATTTATTTATTTTATAAATAAATAAATATTTTTGTTTAAACTGCCATATGTGGACGCATTGCATATTCTGTATGTATCCCATGTACCTTTTTCTTCCTTTGGCACCTTCTGTAACGAGTACATTTCTCCACTGTGAGATCAGTAAAGTATATCAATCAATCAAGCAATCAGTCATAGTACCGTAATTGCATTTTAGATTCCAATAAAACACATATAGTGTTTATAATGTGAGAAATATAATAAAAAAAAAACTATAGGTGAATGAGTATTTTATCATGAAATGTTAAAAAGCAAAACAGAAAACTAAAAAGATTTATTTTTGCATATAACCTACCTATAAGAATGTAATATAATTAAAACGTTTGTATTTTTAGAGCAAATGTTTATGAATATTCTAAATTAGGTCATTTTTACTGACTTTTTTTTAAAAGTAATATTATGCAATACTTTTTATTTACTTGTTTTTTGTTTTTTTTATCAAAGCTTAGTCTTTTTTGACCCAGAATCTGCAGAGCACTTACAGAACGCTAGGTGGCAGTAGAGCGCTGCTCGTTTGCCGCAGACAAAGCCGAAGAAGGTTAACCCGGTGGCTCGTGTGTGTTTCACACCATTGTAAACAAACCCACCTGCATGATTTTGAGCATTTAAGTTGAAAATGCCGGGTTTCTTTGGCTACTTTAAAGCCGTCTAGCTGCGGCCGTGCTGCGTGCTCACCAGGCGGGTAAAAGAAGTGATGGAGGAGCTGCAGTTCGGTGGGACGGTTCCACGAAGGGTCCTCTGACAGAGCTGCACCATGATCCCGGTGTCCCTGCTGGTGTTCGTTATGGCAGGCTGGTGTGCTGTCTACCTGGCTGACACACTGCTGAGGGTAATATTTTAACCTTATTCATATATCATTAAACTATCTCTGCTTACAGAGGGTTATTTTAAGGGTAAGGAGAGAGGCTCAGCCATGTTTAGCGGCCTCAGTTAGCTGTTTATACCTGTTTAGGTTAGCATCCATGGTGCTAAAGGACTATTTTCCTAACATTAGAGATAATAATCAACTGTTCAGCTCTAGTTCAAAATAGGACGTGGATAAACCGGTCCGAAATGCGCTAAATAATTATTTATAACTAAATGTTAAATTTAGATACAAGAGGGGTTTAGTAAAACCTTTATATGAAAAACTACGACATACATATATATATATATATATATATATATATATATATATATATATATATATATATATATATATATACATGTATACACATACATATATATACATGTATACACATACACACATATATATATACCGGTATATACATAAGCTTAACACCAATGGTGTAG